ATCAATAATATTTCTATACACCAGCAACAATGAGACAACCAAAATTTAAGGAAGATGCCATTTATAATAGCATAAGCATTAAGTAACAAGACTAATGCTAACAAAAATTTGCAAAATTTCTATGAAGACAACAATATGAATGTACTTAGAGAAGCATATTAATATAAACTAAAGACATCCTAAACAAATGGAAAGATATAACCTGTTAATAGATTTGAAGACTTAGTATTGTAAAAATGTCATTATATTTTTAAGAATGTCTTCTTAATCTGTAAGTTAAATGTTATCACAATTAAAATTCCAAAAGTATTGTTGTGGAACTTGACAATTGGCTCCTGAATTTTATAGTAAAGTCCAAAGGGCCAAGAATAGCAAAGTCACTCTTACAAAAGAGGAACAAGGTAAGAATATCTGCTCCATCGGATTTCAAGGCCTCTTTTCCAGCATGCCATGCACAAAAATGAATTTCATGTGAAGCTATGAAACCTTTAGAAGATAATACCTGAGAATATAATTATGACTTCCGGAGTGGGGACATTCATAATCAAGAAATACCATGCATTAAGCAAAAAGGAAAAGAATGATAATCTGAACCACTCTAAAATTAAAGATTGTTGTATATCAAAATACACCAAAAAGAGAAGCAGAGAAGTGGCGAATTGTATATGCAGCACAAGTAAGTGACAGAGAACTATGCCTAAATTTAAGAAATCATAGAAATCCATAAAGAAAAGATGATTCAAGAGAAAGATTTAAACAGATACCTCACAGACGAAGAAATCCAAATGGACAATTAACATGTGAATAAATAATCAGAGAAATGCAAACTGAGACCTCACTGATATATCACTATACATCCACCAAATGAGTTAAAATTGAAAAGCTGGACAATATCAAGTGTGGTGAGATTATAGAACAAGAACTCTCATCCTGTTGATGAAATATATATATATGAAAAATGCACACACATGCATCTCTGCACATTTACAAAAATGTTCATTGTGGCATTATTTGCAATATCACTACAATGAAAAGATAATTACAAGAACTAACAAGTTATAGTGTGTATTTTTATACAATGAAACTCTAAATAGTATATCAGAGCTACAGATAGCACACAGTAAGTGGGAGGAATAAAGCAAAAACACAAAGGAATACATATTCATTTACATAAACACTTTGAATGTTTATATAAAATTCAAAAATTGACAAGACTATTATCATTTAGAAATGCACACATTGGGCCAGGTGGAGTGGCTCACACCTTTAATCTGAGCACTTTGGAAGGCCGAGGCAGGTGGATCACTTGAGGTCAGGAGTTCGAGACCAGCCTGGCCAACATGGTGAAACTCCATCTTTACTAAAAATACAAAAATTAGCCAGGCATGGTGGCACACACCTATAATCCCAGCTACTCGGTTAGCTGACGGAGGAGAATCCATTGAGCCTGGGAGAAGGAGGTTGCAGTGAGCTGAGACTGCGCCACTGCACTCCAGCCTGGGCAATAGAGTGAGACTCCATCTCAAAATAAATAAATAAATAAAAATAAAAAAAGAAATGCATACATTGGCATTTGTTGAAATTTTTGGGGGGCTTTATACATCATTACTTTTTGTAAATATTCAATGTTTATTGAAAATAATATATAATCTGCTCCGATTATAGTGAACTTTTTACATGCACATATAAATAAGCATACATATATAATGTACATATATATGTATACACATATATAGTAGATCAATGTTGTTGTTTGCTTGATCTACTAATCTGAGAGAAATTTATCTTAAAAAATTCCCACCATGATTGTAGATTTGTCACTTTTCCTTTTTGCTTCATATTTTCTCAAGTTATGTTGTCAGCTGCATACGTGTCCCTGATAGTAATTTTCCCAGTGGATTTTTCTTCGTAACGTAATAAATGCACTTCTTTGTCCCCATTAGTGTTATTCAACCTAAAGAATACTTTTGCTAACTAATTTTGCTACATCAAGGTTTCTAAATTAGAATTTGCCTGGCATGTCTTTTTCTATTTCTTTATTTTCTGTATTTTAGTTTTTTAGTTTTAACTATTTTTGATACATTTGATTTTAATTGTCTTCCTAGTAGTACACTGGTCAGCGGGTGAGGTATTTATGTGATTAGATTAGATGAGAGGTGGTTAACTTATGATATTATCCAGTAACCTGGACTGGACCATCAGCAAGTGATATTTCATTTTGAGGCTGTCTCCAGGAAACGATCTAAGCCTTAGAATGTCTTCACTTAAAAATGAAGATTTTGTTGGTAGAGGGCTAGCTACTTTATTTTTATATTCTCACTTGTCAAAACATCAAAGAAAGCATTTCATATTAGAAAATGTGTCATTTTCAGGTTAAAAATTTAAAGTAGATTTCATTATTTATATTACTTTATTTTAAAATGTAATTTCTGACATGTGGGCATTGGTTTTTTTCGTATTCCTATTTAAAAGCCACAAATAAACATTTTTAAGAAAATGTTCACATTTTGTGGGCTAATAACGTGGTGAATGAGAGTTTAGTAGAATTGGAGAGAGTGATTCAATTAGAAGAGATGGAGAGAGCTGGATTAGAGTTGTGATTGGATTAGGGCTGATTTAATTAGGATTTTGATGGTACATATAAAGCCTGATCTCATATGATTTTTTCATTTAGAGATTCTCTCCCGAAAGAAAAGCGTATTTCTGGGTCTTATCATATCTTCATTTGAAATCAAGATTTCAGACTAGTGCAATGTAAGTTATTTTTTTCCTTTAAAATATAAAATAGATTAAGGCAATAACTTTTTACAACAGAACATAATTTTTTCCTCTTAAAACTAATTCATTCATTCATTCGCTCATCCATTCATTCTTTCTTTTATTCACTCATATGGAAACTGTTTATTGGGTAGCTATCGGTGCCAGGCATTGTTTTAATGCTTGGCCTGTATTACTGAGGAAAACAAAGATCTGTGCCCTTTTAGAACTTACATTCTACATGGAAGAAGTAGAGAAAGAGACAATAAATGTCACATAACTAAATTATTTTGGGTCATGGAAGATGATACATGGCATGTAATTATGTATAATATAATTTTTAAAAATAAAAAGAAAGCAGGGGAAGGTAGATATGGAGTATAGAATGTTAGGGGACAGAGAGGGAGAACAGTTGCAATTTTAAGTAGAGATGCCCAAGGTCGGTTGGCCTCCATTTGAACAAAGACTTGAATAAGACAGGGAAGAATAGCCTTGGCAGGAGAAAATAGCTAGTGTGAGGGCCCTAAGGCAGGAGCAGCTGTGTGTGTGTCCAAGCAACAATAGGAAGGAGGTAGCCATGAAAAGCATGAGCAAGTTATGAGGTCAAAGAGGCAGGGGAAAGGATAGACCACAGAAAACTTTGGAAACCATTGTGAACACCTTGGCTTTTACTGTGAGGGTAATGGGGGACCAACGTCCCCCGCTGTCTGACTGGATCCCCTTTTCTCTCAATCCCATCCAACTATGTCATTTAATTTTTTAATTGTTGCCAATCTGATGCTGTAACGTGATAATCCATTTTTAGTTTACTTTCATTTTCCTCATTAAAAGGTTGAGTGTCTTTCATGTTTATTGACTATTGTCTATTTGAAATTGCTTTTTCAGAATGGCCTGTTTATATCTTTTGCCCATTTTTTAATTGGGTAGTTTGTGATTTTTATGTGTATCATTAGTAGTAGCAGTAATCCTTTATATGTTATAGGAATTACAAAATTTGCTAATCTAGCATTTATTGACTTGTTTTTGGCATCTTCTGCTATAAAATTAATTTTTGGATAGATGAATTTTTAAAAGTATTTCTTTTAAAGCTCTTAAGGTGTTCTGCTTTGATTGAAAGGTCTTTCCAAATTCTAGGTTCTATAAATAGTTTCTTAAACTTTCTTCTTAGGTTTTTATGGCTTCTATTTTCCCTTTTAGGTGTCGATTTTTGTTTAAGCTTGAAACTGAAATTCCTGTGTTACTCCTGCCATAAGAATATACGTTTTGCAATAAAGGGCCAAACTACATCCCTTTCACATTTAATTAAATGCTGTCTTTGGCATATTAAAATGAAAGAGCCTTTTTTAAGGTTAAGATATACTATACCATGTCGAAAAGCTGATAAAAATGATCTGAAAGGGATGGTCTCATAGATCATAAGAAACAGAAAATATAGAGCAAAATGCCAGTCACTAAGAAATCTGGAGGAATTAGGGCCCAGAGCACAAGGGACAATGTGGGTCACCTCATCTCCATGGGAATCTGAGGAAACAGGAATAGCCAAAGGCAGCTCAACAGATCTGCAGAAAGAGGAGATAAGAAGTCTTTGTTTAAGAGCTTCTATTTTCTCAGAGAACTGAGATCTACTACCAGGAAAGAGAATGGGGAGGGAAAAGGAGTAAAAGAGGCATATAGACTTGAAGAAAGGGGAATGTGGGAAATTATATTATTGCAGAGGGGGAAAATAAACAATTAGGAGAGGATAAGAGGACTGGCAGGCAGAATTAAGAGCCATACTAGATTTTGTGGTAACAGGTTTAAAATAAGAATTCTTGGGAAGTTATAAGATTTTTGCCAGCTAGGTTAACTGATTGGATGAATTTCAAGATTTTAGTAAACTTAAGTTTCCTTTTCTTAATACTTTCAAACCATTTAAGTCAAAAGCTTTAGTTTCATTTTCTTATTAGCACTTTCAGACCATTTAAGTCAAAAGCTTTTAATTTTGTGGATTGACTATACTGTATATTGGTGTTAATGAAATTATAGGGTGGTTATTTGATCACCACTGGCAACCAAAAGATTGAGTTAGTGGGCTGGGAGTTAAATCCATTAAGGTGATTCACTCCAGGCTAATGAGGACAGTTAGAACATAAAAACTGTGGGTATTTCCTATAATTGTGTCACCATCTCACCATTGTTACTTCATTCCTCTACTTGATAGTGCATCATTCATTCATTCATTCATTCATTCAACAGATACTTACTCAGCACCTATTATGTGCCAGGCACTGTTCTATATGCAGAGGATACACCCAGTGAACAAGAGAGACAAGGTTCCTGCTTTCCTGGAACTTATGTTCTAATATAGGAAGATAGACAATAATAATAAAAATAATATTAATAACCATAATAGCTAACATTTATTTAGCAAGTACTATTTGCTGAGACAGTTCTAAGCTCTTTACAAGTATTAATTCACTTAATCCTTAGACTAGTATTATAAGTTAGGTACTAGAATTACGCCCATTTTACAGATGAGGAAACTGAGGGCACAGAAAGGGAAAATGACTTGCCTAAGGTTAGAGCTAGGAAAGGGCAGAATTGGAATTTAGAAGAAAAATGGGCAGGCTGAAAATCCTTTTCTCTTAATGACTTTCCTATGCTGTCTCTCAGACAAGAAACACGGAAGTAAAAAATGAATAGATTCTGGTAATGTTCAGTGGTATGAAAAAATGAAACAGGGTGATGTGATGGTGTACAAACACAAGTGTTGGAGGGGTGGGGGTAGGAAAACTTCACTGTGATACCTGAGACATGAAGGATGGTGATACAGTTATCTTGGGGCACAGGCAACAGAGAAAAGCTAGTGCAAAGGCCCTAAAATAGAAGGAATCTTGCCCTGTTTCGTAAAACAGAAATGCCCAGTTGGCTGTGTCTAGAGCTTAGTGTGTAAGCGAGTGACTGATTGGAAGTGAAGTCTGGAAGTTAGGCAGGAGCCAGACGCCGTGGCGTCTCAGGTCACATTAAGAAATGTGATTTTTATCCTAAGTGCAGTGAAATTTTACACAGGATAGTAACACCATTTGATTAATTTTAAAAGATCACTCTCTTGGCTATATGCAGCATTGACTGTAGGATAAAAGATGACGCAGGAAGATACAATAGGAAACAATTACAATCCAGGTAGGAGATGGTGTTGGCCAGGACAAGGGTAATGGCAGTAGAATAAAATTTCGGGTAAGTTTTAAAAGTAGAATTGGTAAGACCTGTAAATGAACCGTATGTGAAAAGTGAAAGAAAAGGAATTTAAGTAGGCACTCTGGGATTTTGGTTTGAGTAACTAGTATGATGATCGTGTCCTTTAGTGAGACGTGTAAGACTGGAGGAGGGATACCTTTAGTAAGAAAAATCAAGATTTTCATCTTGAACTCTATGAGTGAAAGGGCTTTTTCTGCTTTTCTTTCTTCATTTAAAAGTTGCAAAGAATTTAGAGGTAAGAAAGCATTTAAATATTCAACTTTGTGAGTTCTTTATATTTTAAACTAAGTTGGGGAAGTTGAATTTTCATTTGTTTAACAAATATTAATTGAGCAGCTACTATATGTCAAGGTCTATGTGATGAGATACTAAGATTAGCTAAACAATCAAGATCTCTGTTCTCAGGATTTTTTTTTATGGAAGGGAGGAGACAGGATTGGTGGGTTTTTGGTTTTTGGGTTTTCTCCTTTTCGTTCTTATTAAAACTTAACACTTAAGTAGCCATCTTAGTAATTACATCTTGTGCTCCTGGCAGTTGGGCCCACCGTTCTAAACGCTGTCGTAAATATTGACATCTCCCCTCCCACTAAAACTAACGTTTTTTAAATAAAAAATTTTAGCAAACATTACGAATACAACCTTTGCTTTGAAGTGTTAATATTTTTGCAGGAATGTACCTTTGTAAAGATCGTGGTTGCCCCGTACATATTTGTTCTTTCTTCATATCCAATTAAATGAAAACACTAGTTTTTCCGAAGCCCAACTCTCTAGGTTTGTTGGTTCTAGCTCAGGAGAAAGGATGGAAGCAGGAGTCGTTGGATTTAAACAGTTTGGTGTAATCCTTTTCCACGCTCTCTCCCGCTAGCCGGGGACGTGGTGTCGGCTACCCGGGGCTTTCCGTCCACGCAGTACCGGAATGAAGGAGTCTGGGAGGGGGTCGGGGACGGAAAAGACGGAAGAGACATTAAGTAATTGGTTCTTGAAGGTATAAAATGATGTTTAGGGTCTACTCTAAGGCACTGATTTCAAACGCCCGCCCCCTGGGCCGTTTCGGCCCCGCCCCCTACTGCCGTTACGCCGACTTCCACTTCGGCCACTGCGGATTGGTCGTTGCTTCCGCCTCCGAAGCGCTTGGATTTTGCTTCCGGGTCGTAGGCGCTAGCCCTGGGCGCAGAGGTTTCTGGGAGCTCGGAGTCGTAATGGCGTCTGTATGATCTTCGGAGATTGCTGCATCGGACCTCGGCCAGTGTGAGCGGCAGGAGGATAGGTTATCTTCCTCATCCCGGTGGGACGGGAAAGGGCAGTTGGGGTCGGAGTCGGCGGCAGAGTGCAGAGTGCGGGCGGTGGAGGACCTAGAGCAGCGGGCTAGGGGCGAAACGGAGTGCCTGTCAGGCGCGTCCGGAGCTCTCGGGCCCGCAGAGGAGATCGCAGCATAAAAGGCAGCGCGCCTACCGCGTAAAGCGAACCCCAGGTCCTCCTTTCACTACCCCTCGCACCCCTGCGGCGCTGGGCACGGGTTAAGGGGCAACGAGTTTCTGGTTATAGCCAAAGACTAGCTCACGAGAGGCCGGAGTGATAATTCCGTTAGTGTGTGGGAAGGGGCGGACTCCCAGCTCCAGATAACCCCGTTTCTTCTTTGTATACATGTCTCTTACTCTTTTTGAAAATTAGGAGAAAGCACTCCCCCCCCCCAAAAAAAATCCTCCCAGTTCGCCCACCCTCCCCACACACTTGCTTTTCCGACACTAACAGGGTTTTAATGACTGCATCTGCTAGGCAGTATTCTTGTGACTGCTCCAAGCAGAAAGTAACTTAAGGAATGGGTCCCTGATTTTTGTCATCAGAATCCTCTGGGGCTGAGGTTCCTGTTTTGTTTTTGTTTTTGTTTTTTTTGAACAGTCCTTAAGTTATAACCCACAAACGATCTGATTTATAATATGATGCCTGTTGTAGGAGAAAATTGGCTCAACAAAAGGTTAAGAATTTTTTTCTATGTACCTGTCATTGAAGTTTAACACACTTTCCTTAGTAACTTTTTTCTCAGACACTTAGTAACTTTGTCAGTGATATTTTTTGTTTGTTTTTAGCTTTTGTTTCTACTAGCCTATTTGCTATTGTGTGAAGTTTAGATAAAATGCAAACCTTAGAGAGTCTGGTAGAGTAAGGTTGAGTTGGAAATTTTTAAAACTTAGTCATGGTAGTACTGTATTTTTCAAGGCTTTTGACATGTCAAGTGTCATAATTCTTATAGTAATCCTATGAGGAATATCTCCATTCCACGGATGACAGAAAGTTAAGCCAGGTGACTTGCTCAAGCCCATATAGTCAGAAGGAGAATAGGGATGCAAACTCAGATCTTCATGACAGAATTTTTTGTACTAAGACAAGCCGGAGAAGCCCTATTCGTTGTACGGCCTAAGCCTCATAATTTGTTTTCCTGAAAACTTTTGTTTAAGAAGATTAAGCAGGTTTAGGGGAATGAGTTTTAGAATTTATTTCACTAGTATGGATATTAATACTCTGTAAAATGAGTGTTTGTATTGTTGTAAATAACTTGATTATATTTTTCTTCAAAGCATAAAAGATGACAACAGCAGCCAGGCCAACCTTTGAACCTGCAAGAGGTGGAAGGGGAAAAGGAGAAGGTGATTTGAGCCAACTTTCAAAGCAGTATTCAAGCAGAGACCTACCCTCTCACACAAAGATAAAATACAGGTAGTAAGACTTTCTTTTTTTTCTTTCTTTTTTTTTTTTGTTGAGACAGAGTCTCGCTTTGTCGCCCAGACTGGAGTGCAGTGGCCGGATCTCAGCCCACTGCAAGCTCCACCTCCCGGGTTCACGCCATTCTCCTGCCTCAGCCTCCCGAGTAGCTGGGACTACAGACGCCTGCCACCTCCCCCGGCTAGGTTTTTGTATTTTTTAGTAGAGACGGGGTTTCACCGTGTTAGCCAGGATGGTCTCGATCTCCTGACCTTGTGATCTGCCCATCTCGGCCTCCCAAAGTGCTGGGATTACAGGCTTGAGCCACCGCGCCCAGCCTCTTTTTTTTCTTGTTCACAAAACAAGACCAAATCTGTTAAATGGCATGGTCATGATATAGTAGTATGTTCGAGTTATGTCACTTATCTATTATCATAGGATTAGAATGCAATAGGATGTTTAACACTAAAATTCTGCCCTGTGGTTTTAAAATGCAAAATTCCTACTAACCAGAAATTTTCGTATGTAGATACAACAATAAATAACAGAAATAATAATGCCTCAGAGAGATTATGCACTATCAGCACCAGTCAATATATTAAAAGTATTACTGTTAAGTTCTGAGTTGATAATACCAATAAAAATTAAAGACATTTTAATCACGTAAAGCCTTATTATAGGAAAATGCGTGATTGAATTTGGACTTCTTGAAATATTGGGAACATCACAAGAGTGGCTGTTAGTAACTTTCAGATTAGATTATGATCTTATCTACTTCCCTTTTTTATGCTTGAAGGACAAAGTCTCATTCCTGAATTGTCTTCCATTACCACAGTCGTGTGTGTGTATGTGTGTGTGTGTTTAAGTAACATTTTTGCCCTGGTTTGTTTCTACTTTAGACAAACTACTCAGGATGCCCCTGAAGAGGTTCGTAACCGTGACTTCAGGAGAGAGTTGGAAGAAAGAGAGAGAGCTGCTGCAAGAGAGAAAAACAGAGATCGTCCAACCCGAGGTACCAACACTATCCAAGACATTTATCTCTAAAATTATGTTGTTGATAGTTTTTCTTTTATGTAGCAACTGGAAAATATTAACCATTTGTTTGCTTTTACAGATTGATGTGAGCTGTAATACTTTCTTAAGTCATTAGAGATAACAATAACAAATATTTACCAAAGGCTTATTTGCCCAGGCACTGTGGATGTGATTTCACTGTGGATAATGCTTTCAGTGTGGGCTCCTCGTGCCCACAGGTCCCTAAAACATTTTAAGAGATGCAGTATTTGTTTTACTAAGTTAAGTGATTTTTGTTTCCCCTCAGAACATACAACCTCCTCTTCAGTGTCAAAAAAGCCACGGTTAGACCAGATTCCTGCTGCCAACCTTGATGCAGATGACCCTCTAACAGATGTATGTTTTGTTTTCTCCTTTCATCTCTAATAATTGATTTACCATGTTTTTCTGAAATACTTGTTATGCCTTTGGCTTTAAGAAGTGACATATATTTGCTTGCTGTTATTCAAATATAACCCTGACCTCAGTGCTAAACTTTATAGTTGATTTTAAAACAAAAAGTATTATTTTGTGGGACTTTTAAGAACAAGTTTGGTCTCTAGAGAACCAAATATGGAAGGAATCTTAAAAGACATGCTTTCCCGCAAAATAATGTCCTGTACTAAACTACTGCACTATGGTGTGTTACACACCTCTCTACAGGGCACTCTTCACACTGGGTTTCCTATAAACAGTGCCCTCTAGAGTTGTACCTGGAGGCCTTTCCACATTAGATATGCCCCTTTCTATAAGTGGAGTACACTTAATGGTTCCCTCTGTGCTTAGTGAGGGAAGTAATCTAAGCAGAAGGTTTTTAAGGATTAGCACATCAGTTAATGATAAAATTCTGTGGGACCCTAGAGCCTATAATCAGTTTGCAGTTTTCTACATACAGGACAGTGAAAAACCTGAGTGGCATCCAATGAGTAATATCTACCTGTGTATACATATCAGCAGTTAATTCTAGAGTTAAATGATGGAGTTACTCATAATAGTTAAAACAAGAAACCTAATTTCAAGTGAAATTTAATGATTATTCATTTGAAATTATTTTCTTCTGAGAAATTAGCAGTTTTTTGCACTTTTGATTATCTTTACTTGCTAGCTTAAAGTTGTTTTGAGCTACATAAAATTGTTTTGACTTTCTTAGGGTGATATATTGTACATATGTACTGTGTTTTGGTAATGTATATTTTCCCTCCAATCTTCTGGGCTCTCACTGTTCTTTTAGGAAGAAGATGAAGATTTTGAAGAAGAAAGTGATGATGATGATACTGCAGCTCTTCTTGCAGAACTGGAAAAAATTAAAAAGGAAAGAGCTGAAGAGCAGGCCAGGAAGGTAAAACCAAAGTGTTAAATATTTACATCTCTCCTCTCACATATACTAAAGTAGAAATTTTTTTGAATATAAGTAATACCTTCTTATATTAGAAATCTCCCTTACTGTGTCTAAATATTATAGCACTTGTAGATCTATAAATCTTATTATTTTTGTGACATCCTAGGTATTCTGGTTATGTTAAAAATTCTTTCCCAATAGTTCAGATACATTGAGTAATATTCACCAGCTTGCTAGTCATTCACTAGTTTATTCATTTGTTCAACATTTAGTCAATATCTGTTAATTGACAGGAGAATCAAAGATGATCAAGATATAGTCATGGTCTACAAAGATTATCTCTCTGTCACCTGCCTAGGTACTATTAAGGCAATTAGTCAGTAGATATTATATAACCTAGGTCAAGCTACCTAACTTTGCTGAGCCCCCACAGTCTCTCCGTTTACACAATATGAGGAAAAAATATAAAACTCAAAGATAGTTAAAACTCTTAATGAATTACCCAGAGTGATAATAAGAGGTGAAACTGAGGAGGCAAGCACAAGTCAGAGCATTAGAGATTTGCAAAACAATGCTGAAGGAGTCTAGATTTTTTTCTAAAGGACATGAGGAGCTGGTTGATTTAAGCAGGAGATTGATAAAATTGGATATGCATTTTAGAGAGATTACTCTGGCAAAAATACGCAGGATGGATTGGAAAAAAACTGAGTTAGGAGGCTGTTTCAGTAATCTTACCAATTAAGAGACTCTTAACTTGTATGATAGGAGTTGGAATTAAGATAAGTAATTAGATGCTGATAGAACTGATTATCAAGGAGGTCAAAGTGGGAAGGGGAGCAGGAAAAAATATAAAAGAAGTAGAGTTGACAAAGTGACTGATTGATTGTGGCAGCAGAGAGGACCCTCACTTTGTAGGTAAATGTTGGTGCTGTACATCAATACAGGGAATGCAAAAGAATTGCCATATTTATACAGAGAGAAGAGGTAGTTGATGAGATCTGTTTTGAACATACTGAATTTGACACATTATAAGACATTCAGGTAGGGATGTTTTCAACCAGAGCAGCACAGCTTTTTTGTAGATTTCTGTGTAAAATTTTATTTGATGCAAGAATTGTTCTGTTTTTAAAAAAGAAAGTAAAAAAATATACTACATGGTCAATACCAGGAATCTAGGGAAGTGAGTTCATGTGAATCAGAAGGGCCAGGGAAGAATTCAGAAAAGAGGTAGAATTTGGGATGGACTTTGATGACTTAGAATTCAGATTGGAAGAAGGAAGGCACTTTAAAATACAATTCTCATCAAAGTTTTGTATTATAAGACAGCATAATTCCTATAACAGCTTATAGTTTTTACATGTAGTTTTTAAGTCGAAGAATTATAAAAACATTCCCAATCCCACTTGCATACCACTAGAGGGCAATTGTTCCAAATTCTTTTAGCTTGCCTAATAGTTCTGGACACATAAAGAGATGAGCAATTTAAATGCTTTTGGTTGACCTTGAGGGACGATAAGCATTTTAGACAGAAGGCCTTGCAGTTTTGTGAGTTTCATGTAATAAAACGTGTTGATATTTCTTGGAGTTGAATGATAGTTTAGTTTCTTTTAGCCCTGTTTCCCTTTCTATTGGCTGGTTTTTGCCACGTCCCAAATTTAAGATTTTTCAAACCATTTAACCCTTGTCAGGGGTCAGCACACTTTCTGTAAAGGGCCAGGTAGTAAATATTTTAGGCTGGCTGGTCATGGAGCCTCTGTCGCACCTACTCACCTCCACTGTTGTAGCATAAAAACATCCACAGAGTACATAAACGAATGAGTGTGGCAATGTTCCAATAAAATATCTACAAAAACAGGTAGTTAGGATTTGACCTACATGCCATCTGACAACTAGCTTATATTATGAAACATAGTATGCCTGCTGTTTGAATGTTGAAAGAGTTTATGCCTTTTTTTCCCAGGGCTGTTAGTGACAATCATTCAGTAACTCCAAAGGAAATAATATTCCAAACATAAAATGTCCATGACCTTTGTATGTCATACACATTATATTATAAGTTTGGATATATTGTATACCTAAGCTCCTATTTTTCTAGTATTTCAGAGAAATATCTTTTCCCTTTAAGCATCAGTATAATTTGTTACAAATAAATATATAGCTTTTAGAGAGCTACTTGTACTTAATCTGTGATGGATAGTTCCTGATTTTATTTAAATTCTGACCAGTGATGTAAAGGAATTTTCCTATTTCCTTACAAGTTAGATCTTCTCACCTCCTATTTTCATTTTTATTTTTCTCCATAAAAATGAAATTCATTGTTTACATTTGAATATTGAAATGAATATCAGTAATCTGTATGAAAAATTAGGTTATTAAAATAATAACTTTTTAAAAAATGATTTCCACACCATCTCTTTTTCCTTGATCTATTAAGTCATCGATTTCTGTCATCCCCAAAACACAGCAAAATGGGATTTATATTTAGCTTAAGATAGCATGTTAACAGGTAGATCTAGAAGTGATAGCTAAGGATTTTAGACATTTTATATTCCAAATTCTGAGAAGGAAACTCAGGATGATTTGACTTTGAAGAAGTTGATGCTAAAATAAAAGTGAAGAAAGACAGTGTTGTAACTGATAAAGGATGGGAGGTATAAAAATAGAAACTGAGGCCGGGCGCGGTGGCTCACGCCTGTAATCTCAGCACTTTGGGAGGCTGAGGTGAATGGATCATGAGGTCAGGAGTTCGAGACCAGCCTGGTCAACATGGTGAAATGACATCTCTACTAAAAATACAAAAATTAGCCGGGCATGGTGGCGCATGCTAGAGGCTGAGGCGGGAGAATCAATTGAACCTGGGAGGTGTAGGTTGCAGTAAGCCGAGATCATGCCACTGCACTCCAGCCTAGGCAACAGAGCGAGACTCCATCTGAAAAAAAAAAGAAAAAGAAAAGAAACTCAATAATAAGTCAATAAAAACAAAATAGATCAGCCTCAGGTAAATTAGTAGAAATTCATGTTAACTGGATATAATTTTGTACATGGTAGTTTGTCCTATTTTAGGAGTTTTCTTCATTAATAACTTCTCACCAAACCTAGAGACGCAAGTTTACATTATTAGTAATTCAAAATAAGATTAAATTAAATCACAGTTATGTATGACCCTTTAAAATTGAGATAATAGTTTTGCTAAATGTGTCTTTTTGATATTTAATATGTTCTTAAATTATTAGAATATGCTTATTGATATACGCTTAAAATTTAAAGCTATTAATTTTACATGTACTTCAAGAAAGAAAATAGATTTAAATATGAATCTCTAACATTTCACAGTTGGAAGAGACTGATATCAACCATGAAATATTTATAATAAAAATGCCAACTTATTTTATTTTGATGAGGGAGACTTTTCTAGTATGCCTCAAAAACCAAAAAAAAAAAAAAAAAAAAAAGCCTGCCTTGATGCTTTTCTTGCCGTAAAATCCCAATGATCTGTTTTTTTTTTTTTCAGTGAGCTAATATAAAAAAAATTGAACCCAGAGTTAAAATAAGTAAATACTAATCTTCCTTTATCATTGACAGGAACAAGAACAAAAAGCTGAAGAAGAGAGGATTCGTATGGAAAACATTCTGAGCGGAAACCCTCTCCTTAATCTCACTGGCCCATCGCAGCCTCAGGCCAACTTCAAAGTTAAAAGAAGGTACTATACAGTAACGGAGTAATGAAGTGTGTGTGTGTGTGTGTGTGTCTATATGCACAGGCATGCAGATTATAAGTTGGATAGCAAGGTGCATTATATGAAGCTTCTAAAAGTCCACCGTTCGTTCACGGATACTCTTCTCTGTTCAATTAGGAATAATGGAAGAAGCTAAATGAAAGAAAATTAACTTATTTTCAGTAGATAGTTGCAATAACCAGCTGTGTACCAGATAATGATGTAAGCACTAGGGACAGAGTAATAAACTGAGGCCCTTACATTTTAGGTATGCGTATCAAGGGTCCCCAAGATGGCCTCTCACATTCAGACACTCACTGGAAGAACTCAGGGGACTTGGCATATAGTTACATGCTTGGCTAAGGTAATAAAGACACACAGCTAGATTATAAAGGGAAAAGACACACACGGAGAATGGATGAATCCATGCGCAGGTTTCACTATGCTCTATCCCTTCCATGAGTGGTCACACAGCACATTGTTTCCCCCAGTGCAGCAACGTGTGCAGTGCTGCTGCCCAGGGAAGCCCATTAAAGATCCCATGCCCAGGGTTTTTACTGGGCGTGGCTAGTCATGTACGCAGCTTTTGCTTAGCACATAGCAAAATCCAGACTCTTAAAAGGACAGTAGGTGTTCAGCATAAACCACATTATTTGTAAATTGTAGGCACAGTGACAGTGAGAAGATTTCTTAAATCCAAATTTTCAAATGCCAGCCAGGGGCCAACCTTGGAAGCAGGCATTTCTAAGGATTGTGGTCCCAGGCCTGCTTTTTAAATTCTTTCTGTACAGTGTGTGTGTTTGGAGGGGTAAAAAGGAGGGCTGAAAAGGGAGGAAGTATAAATTGTAAATACTGTAAATCCTTCAGATGGTGATATGTAAAATAAAACAGAAAAGCTTACAGGAAATGTTGAGGAAGGAAGAATGGTTGTTATTTTATATGCATTCATCAAGGAAACACAGTGCTTAACTTTTAAACCATATTCGTTATTTTTCACCACCTCTACTGCTATTATTTGCCATCTAGAGTGATGCAGTACTGCTACCCGCCCTCCCCTCTGGAGTGATGCAGTACTACTGACCGCTTTCCCCTCTGGAGTAATGCAGTACCGCTGATACAGTTCTGGAATTAGTCCAAGCTGGAGATAGTAGATTTGGAAGTTATCAGCTCAGATAAACTTTCTAAAGCCATAACACAGGATGAAATCACCTAGGGAAGGGTATAGCTAGAGAGGAGAAGTCAGAACTGAGCTTAGTATAATGTTTAGAGGTTAGGGAGATGATTAGTTACCAATACCTGTTCTAATCATCTACCCAACCTCTAAACATTATACAGGTGCCTGATAAATATTGATTGAATGAATTTTGAATGAAAAAGTCTAGGCTGACAAGGAGCAGCCAGTTGGGAAGAGAGGAGAACTGAAAGAAGTGAAACCAAGTGTTTCAGGAGGAGAGGAGTGATCATTTAGGACAAATACTAATGTCAGGAAAGAGCATTTTGGTGTTGGGAAGGAGGGACAAAAAGCCTGTTTGGAGTTGAGGAAAGACTGGATACAGAAAAAACTACTGATTATATATAAAAATAAAGCTATATAGTTTGTTTTTTTGCTTTTTTTGAATGCAAATGGAATTGGAGACAGAAACATGTCTTATATCCCAGTCATATTGATCTGCTCAGCTTCTTATGCTTCTCTGTATACTGCATCAGTGATGACTTTACTGCACTATTTTCCAAAGGTGCCCACGTTTGTTGCTCGTTGTGCAGTTTCCCACATTTGTTCCCATGTGCAGTTTCTCCTGGCATGTAAGCGCATACACACATACACACACTCATGATATGGGTTTGTGTTTTATGTATATTTGTGAGGGTATCTATATTATGTATATGGGCAGCTGTTTTATATGCTAGATGATATTCTGAAATCATGCTCTTTATTTTCTATAACACATGTATTTTATAACTTACTTATGGATTTTTTTTTCACACTTATACCTTATGGAATCCAACCAGAGTTCTGCCCTGAGTTCTTCGGCTGGTACTTCTCCGTGGTTAACGTACATGTGCGCCATATCTGAGCCTTAATTATTACACCCCAATGATTGCTTCTCCTTTTGTTGGCCTGTAATGCAAATATTACAGTAGATGATTACTAAACATTAACTGATAAAAGAGGAATATCTACAATCCTCAAAACCACATAATCTAAACTACATTAAATTGATTGGCTACTATCATCTACAAATGCCTATACTAATATTAGGGTAGTCCTAGGTGCAGCCTCTTTGTATTAGACCTAAAAACATTAAATATTTATGCAATTAAAATCTATGTATTTCTATTTTTTAACTCAAAAGTTTCTTTTACTGGAGAAATAGTAAGAATGTTTTACATGTTCTAAGTAGGAATTGCCATTCTTGCTATAAGAAGCAAGATTATGTATTAAGGATGACATTATTCTTTTCAGTGTAATTGCTGCATCAAATGATACACATGTTGAGCGTCTTTCTGTGTAACTGACTAAGCCTTGCAGAGCACATAGTATTCTTGTCTCCTGATACAAACATTTTAAGACATTTTGTTTGCTTTTTCTTCCTCAGGTGGGATGATGATGTTGTCTTCAAGAACTGTGCGAAAGGTGTAGATGACCAGAAGAAAGACAAAAGATTTGTAAATGACACACTGCGATCTGAATTTCACAAAAAGTTCATGGAGAAATATATTAAGTAGTACAGTTTTATGTGCTTAATTAAAGACTGTAAAACATAAAGGATCATTCTGACTTATTTTTATGAGTTTTTTTCTTTTCCCTGTCTAAATTGTGTGTGGGCTTCCCCAATTTTAAACTCCTATCTTTTTCTTTAGTGACACCTTACTTGATAATGGACTTGGGAATAGGTTTAACCCAATTTGCATTCTCCGAATGTTTCCAGTGATACGTTTTCTTGTGAAAAGCAAACCTGCCTGTAATAAATATTTTTAATCTAAATAACCAAATCTGGGTGCCCAACTTTTTGTTGGAATTTATACTGCTAGTAATACATTCCATAATTTCTTTTGAAAAGAAAAATTACCATTGTGTATTGTGGTTGTGCATTAACTTGCCCTTTTCCCCGTTTCTCTCACATTTATTTAAGATGAGTTAATTCGTAATATTTTCTCCACACTTTTTAAAAGAGTATAATGAAAGATGAGAGGGATTCCATTTTGGACTACATGTTGGTGTGGAGGAGTGTCATCGACAGTAAGCATCGTAAGCGTGTGTCTGGGAGAGCACTGGGTATTGCTCCCTTCTGCAGGCACTTGTTTTTTTCTCATGGCCCAAGAGGAGAGCTCTATAAGCATTCTTTTAAATTATACGGTACTCACTTATGTTCTGGATGCTCAACCGCCATGTTTCTTTTGAAAGAGATTGAATATGCACACTGATGTGCACTTAGTGCAAAGCCTGAGAAAGCTTCAAACAATATATAAAATAAAACCTTTGGAAATAATGTTTTGTTATCTTGGAGGATATATCTGTGGGAAGTGAGAGGAAGAGCTAGGCTATACTAAAAGCAGTAATTCTGGAAAATGAAGTTTTTGTGAACCTAGGCTGTGATTTCAGAAGGCCACTTTCAATAGAAAATTTGAGACTAGAAATTGAGCCTTTTATAGATAGAGAGCCATTCATGGGCTTCCTCAGCCATGAAAAATACTGAGGTTCCTAAGGTTAAAGATAGAAATTTTAAAGCAAAATAATATGTTCCCATTTAAGTCTTTCAATACCTTATTTCCTAATTAAATGGAAAGTTCCCTTTTCCCAGTAGAAGCTTGGACATTGGTTATATCCTGAGTCCAGAGTAGAGCTGGAAATGGAGCCCAGGTCTAGATTCCACATTTATGTTCTACATTTTTTCAAACTGAGCTCCTAAACAAACTTGGATACTTCAGCTAGTGTTTTTAAGAAGCTTTTAATATTAAAACCTTTTTATCTCCAACTTTACAACTTAGAAAGTGAATTTACATATGATGAAACCCTGTCTCTACTAAAAATACAAAAATTAGCCAGGCATGGTGGCGGGCGCCTGTAATCCCAGCTACTCAGGAGGCTAAGGCAGGAGAATTGCTTGAACCCAGGAGGCGGAGGTTGCAGTGAGCCGAGATCGTGCCACTGCACTCCAGCCTGGGTGACAAGAGTGAAACTACATCTCAAAAATAATAAAAATTTTTAAAAGAAAATGAATTTACATTCATTTTTGGTTATCTTCATAGCAGCCTTAGGTAGGAAGTGCTGTGTTACTCAGAGTTGAGGAAAATGAAGCTCAAGCCAAGTAACTTCTTGAGGATTAATACATGGTGGATCATGTATGAGCACCTTACAATTACATAAAAATATGCTTATAGATGTAATGGGTATTATCAGACTTCTAAAACTGTAGTTCTTGAAATTGCTGCTTTTAGCATCTCAAGGGCCAAGGGTCTGAGGTGCACTATTGCTCCAGGGTCCACTTGTTTCAGATTCCCTTTTTGAGCCTGAACGGTTTAGGCAGAATCAGAGTAAAGCTGATTTCATTGATTTCTTTCTTCCTTTCCCTGTGGTTTCTCAAAGTAAAACATCCTATAACCTGAGTCAGACCCAGGAGATACATAAATGTGTTGTTAGCTTTCAGATTTACAGTGCAAGTAACAGCATATACTTAGCTAAATTGCCTTGCACCCTCCTTGTAAAATACCTCTTGTTGGAGTGGTTGTGGAATCTGTCTTATCCCTTCAAAAGATTGGAAAGAGAGGTCTTTGAAGCCAATAGGACCTGGTGTGAAGCCTAGCTGTGCCACTTCAAGCTTTATTAGAACTAACATTTATTACGCTGGGTGCGGTGGCTCAAGCCTGTAATCCCAGCACTTTGGGAGGCTGAGACGGGCCGATCACGAGGTCGGGAGATCAAGACCATCCTGGCTAACATGGTGAAACCCCGTCTCTACTAAAAAAAATACAAAAAAAGTAGCCGGGCGAGGTGGCTGGCGCCTGTAGTCCCAGCTACTCGGGAGGCTGAGGCAGGAGAATGGCCTGAACCCGGGAGGCGGAGCTTGCAGTGAGCTGAGATCCGGCCACTGCACTCCAGCCTGGGCGACAGAGCAAGACTCCGTCTCAAAAAAAAAAAAAAAAAAGAACTAACATTTATTGACCAGGTGTGGCAGCTCACGTCTGTAATCCCAGCACTTTGGGAGATCAAGGTGGGCAGATCACTTGAGGTCAGGAGTTCGAGACCAGCCTGGCCAACATGGCAACACCCCATCGCTACTAAAAATACAAAAAACAATTAGCCAGGCGTGGTGACTGGTGCCTGTAATCCCAGCAACTGAGACTGAGGCAAGAGAATCACTTGAACCCGGGAGGCAGAGGTTGCACTGAACCGAGATGGTGCCACTGCACTCCAGCCTGTGTGACAGAGTGAGACTCCATCTCAAAAAAAAAAAAAAAGAACTAAGAAAGATTTATTGAATGTTCACCAACTGCATTTGTACTTTATTCATCTAATTGACACCACTCCCTGTTAGGTAGCTGACATTATTTTCCCCATGTTATAGATAAGGAAACTGACATTTGTAAGAAGTTTAAAAACAAAGTCATAAACCCATAAGGGAGGTGGGCCAAGATTGAAACCTAGAACTATTCTAAGCCCATCCTGTTCACTGCTTTGCTTGACTGCTTCTCTGTGTTAATGAGCCCTTCTGACTGTTTTCTCTCCTATGGAACAATAGTAACAGGACAATCATGAGGGAGTTTTGTGAGGATTAAATAATAACAAGGTTTAAATATCTGGCAGGCACATAGTAAACTTCATGCATGTCTATTCACCTATCTCTAGTAGCATTTAGCAGAGACCTTGTAAAAGTTCAAAAGCCTATTGTTTTGTTCTGTCATAAAGATTGATTCTGAATTAAGAGGCTCCCTGACCCCTCAGAACTTGTGTTGGGACATAGGTATGGCCCAGACAGGCATTTCCTGGTCACTAGGATTAGAAACTCAGTCATAGCAACTCAAGTAAAATCAAGGCTTATCTTTAGAAAACTTAAAAGGCATTTCCTCTGTTCAGCTCTTTCTTGGCTTCCCTCTATTTGTCTGTTCCACTTTTTCTGCAAGACTTGGTTTCTGTACCACAAAAGTGGAGGTCACTCATTCATGCTCCTGGCTTCCTTGATAGAAGGGCTTCATGTCTTTATAGCTCCACTGGCCAATAGAGCCTCTGTGTCCTGAGACGAAGCTGGTCCTGTGAGCAGTGGGCAGGAACCCAGTTACCTAGAACAAATGTGGGCACGGACAGGAAGACATGGACGGTACAATCTCTAGTACAGACATGGCTTGACATACTCAGCTGTACACATGTTACATAAAACCTGGAAACCAAAGATACTGCCTCTGTAAATCCGGACTCCTCAGGGGCAGTACCTACATCTTCTCCACCATGCTGGGCACACAGCAAGGCTTGTCTAAAAACTGGATGGCTTCAATGTTTGGTATTTAGGAGGAAGCATAGAGTAGAAACAGCACAAGAGCCTGAAGAAACTAGATTAAATTTTAGTTCTGCCACTTGATAGCCTTATGGCCTTAACAAAGTAAATCTCTGAGCCCATTTCTTCCTTTGTACAGTGACAATAACAACACTTCCCCCCAAAAGCTGAAGATTAGAGGTGATACAAATACCTAGTTTATAGAATTGTTGGGGGTTCTTGGAGGGTGGTGGTGATTATTCCCTTGTCCTCCTCACCCAAATTTCCAATCATCTAAAACACAGAGGAAAAGTATTAACTGAGGATCCAAATCAGCATCCTGGCTCCAGTGCAGTTGCTCAGGCCCCACACTCGGGAGGAGTCCACCTTCAGGGTACAATGCTCAGCCACTACTGTCTTAAAATTGTTCATAACTTTATCTTTGAAAGTGTGTTTTGTAAATAAAATGTTACGGAACAGTGGAGCATATGTCAGGGCTTGGAGGCTTGGGTCACATGAGGTCCTGCCTCCTGGACTCCCCAGGACAGGTTCTCTGCTGCCTACTTCTGGTGCAGGCCTGGGCACAGGCTTGGGGAGGGGCAGGTATCCACACAGGCAGGGTGGAAAAGCTGCAACCTAAACAGCAGAGGCCTGGGGAGTCCTGCCAGGAGCAGGCCCTGCTGGGTCAGTTTCCTGCTGGATACCGGAAGCACAGGCACCAGTGGGCTGGGGAGGGCTTGTCCTGTCTTTAGAGCACCTTAGAAATAGGGCTAATTAGGCCGGACGCGGTGGCTCACGCCTGTAATCCCAGCACTTTGGGAGGCCAAGGCGGGAGGATCACAAGGTCAGGAGTTCAAGATCAGCCTCGTCAACATGGTAAAACCCTGTCTTTACTAAAAGTACAAAAAAAAAAAAAAAAAAAAAAGAGAAATAGGACTAATTAAATGGAGCCATTCATGTTGGGAGAGGAGACAGCTGGGAGCTTCGGAAAGGTGGGATATTGACCAAGGTCAAGCATGGAAGAAATGGGATTCGCCTTGGAGTCATCTTTTAATAAATGCTTGGTGTCATTTTATTTGTGGTGCTGTTGTTATTTGGGGTGATGTTGTAGATGTGTCACTAGCATATTTCCTAAATTACACTCCCACAGAGCCTCCACATACATCTATGCTCCTGAAATCTTTATACAGGGCTCTTTTAGGAGTTTTGAATTTTTTTTAATGTCCTGTTCTCTCTCACCTGACCTAGCTCTCAGAGGCACTTCAGGAGGTGAGAAGAGGAGAAGGAAGAAACCTGATGTGTTCACCTGAGAGAGGTGTCTGCCAGGTTTCCTCTCCAGGGTGGTCTCAAACAGCCTCCCTTTTCAGAAAGAGGCAGAGAAATGGTTCCTAGAAGTCCTAAACTAATTGCAAGCAGCTTTCTGGGAGCTCAGCCATCTCCATATGTACTGGAGCCCAAGAAAGGGGGAAAGAGGGGTGAGGGCTTAAATAATACTTTGACTTTTTCAGAGAAGAGGATTC